GTGATTTACTTTATGTATATAGCAACCCCCTACAAAATACTTACTGTAGGCCAGACATTGTTAGGTGTGTGAATAACAACTAATTGAAACTCCAATTAACTCTAGGAGTAGGAATTATTTTTATCCCCCACTTCACAAATAGGGAAACTGAAGCAGAAGTAAGTGTGAAAATTACACAGCTAGTATGTTCCTGACATAGGATTCAAACCAGGTAGCCTGACTTTAGTATCCATGCCTTCACCCGTTCCAGCCCACTCCCTCTAAAATCCATTACAATGAACATATTATATTTAAAAGACTTGACATATGAGCTATCTTGTATTTCATTCAGAAAGAAGGTATTTATAAATATTGCAAAGTATGACTTTGATCTACTAAAGAAAATAAGAGAGCAGACCTGTTTCCTGTTGATATATAAAGCATCATCACTTTTTATCATCTCTTGAGGCTGGAAGTTTAGCTTAGTGCCTGTGTGATAAAAGCAAATTTTATGACATATCTAAAATTTCTATTATGTTCATGAATATCTATCTGCAAGGATGTTTCAATAACAAACTCACTATGTATGAATGGAGAGCAGGTTTTGAACATACAAATAATTTTTATATCATTTTAAATGTGTCATGAAGACATTTATTTCAGAAATTCACCCTCTGTGACAGTGAGAAAAATTCCTGTCCCCAATATATATATATAATGAAGGGCTAGCAAAGATGCTCCTGTCTTGCTTGTCAGTGAGCAGTACTTATGAAAGAAGGAAGATGAATTGTCAAATCTTTGTGGCATGTCGGCTTGATTACTGCTTTTATTCACAGGATACAGACTTTGTATAACCATAGTGTGAAGGATTTAATGCTGCACCAATGAGTATTTGGTAAAACATACACTGTCAAAGCAATTTTTCTTAAGTAGCGTTAAGTAATGGAGCATTAATTAGAGGCCAACAGAGTAAAATCACACTGCTCTAGCTTGCCAAAGACATTACCTGTGCGTCAAAAAAAGTGTTTATGACCAGCATGTTAGCATCGCATGCCAGTAATCTGAGCAGGTGGTCATTAGAGACTTCTGCTAGGAGCCAGATCGTTTTCCCCATGAATCGCTTGGTAAGGTCCAGGCACTTATTTCTCCCTGAATGAGAAAGTATTCTACTTCAAATTGCCAAGGTACCTCTCCATAATGGCAAGGAAGTGTTTTAGCAGTTCTTTACAAGCTAGAATGATTTACTGTGTTCAGAAATTTTTGATCTGTTTTATTGGTTAAACTCAAAATATCTGCTTTATTGGATAAATTTAACATATCTGTTAGATGCCTTCTTTCTACTTTACAAACAGCGTAATTGAAAGCATTGTTTTGGTAGTCTTCTCAGAGGACCACATAATCACAATTTAAATTAGCCATAATTTATTTTACATTTGCTTATTTTACTGTTAACTTTCCCAGAACTGTATTTTTTTTTTTACAATTAGAACATCTGAATTGTAATTACATTACCATCAAGAAGCTCATTAAAGTCACTTAATTGGCAACATTTCCAAAAAAACCTTAGCTGGGTTTAATATATTTTAAAGAGTTACTGTCAAAGTATAATTTCACCATTACAAACAGCTTGGCAACAACATTTGCATAAAGATCTGTCAGTTTCTGAAAAATGCTCAAATGTTGGGAAAATCAGATTCGTTAAGTCGCCTTTACTGAAAGAGTCTAGAAATGGAGAAATTGTCATATATATTCATATTTGCAACCCCTGCAGTTCCCAGAACACTGCCACGTACAACATAGGTATTGAAAAATGTTTCTTGAGGATGAAATAAAGAAAATAAATTACACATTTTGTATTTCTGGATTTTCAAAAGAACTTAAACCTCAATCAAAGTTTCCTCATTTGTGTTAAATTTAACAAAATACCCATTTTCTTGCTGCTTCTTTGTCATTCACTCTAAGAAATATTGGATGGTCACTTAGAATTTTGGAACCTTTTAAAATAGCTTTAAGGACAGCATAGTGGTACCAAATTTGAGATTATTTTTTGAGATGGTATAATTTTGTGACAGTTTCCCTCTTATACATACTAGAATTTTATACCTAGAGCACTGATCTCATTTGAATTTACATTGTAGTTATATTCATTTCTCACCTTTACAAGACTTTAAGTTCCTGCCTATAGACATGCATCCTGCTACATTTTTTTTTGGAAGGGGGGAGTCACCTATAGTACCTAAAACAGTGGCATGCAATTATATTTGTCAAATGAAAGCATGCAAATCTCAAGTTTGTGATCTATGAAGAATGATTATAGTTGGCAGCATTAATTAAGGTATTTGGAGATTGTCCTTCCAAATATCTCATACCAAGAACATAATGTGGTAAAGGATAATTACTACAACTTGCTTCCTACAAATAGAGAAGATAAGATATTTAAAAATCATCCCTTTTAGTTTGATATTTTCTACTAAAATCTTTCCTCTTTGTCATTTATGTATCTTATATCTTCCAAACCAAAAGAAGAATCTAGCAGAATGTACAAAATGTGAACATTGAAAAATAAACCCTGCCTTTTAAATTGCTACCTTGCCATCACTGTTTCTTCAAAATGTTGCAGTGTCTGGTGTATAGACAGACTCAATAAATGTTTGTTGAATGAATGAATAAATACATAAACACATGTTGACAACCCTGAGGAGCACCTGGCTGATTCTACCTAAGGGGGTCAGGGAAGGCTTCATCAATAGTAATATAGAGTAATATAATAATGTAGTATTCCATGAACACAGGTGTTCACTCATGTATCGGGTGGTGAACTGTACCACATGCTAAATTCCAAGATACAGTCATGAAGATTCTTCTGGGATAGCGCCATCCAATAGCACTTGCTGTAATGATGGAAATGCTGTACACCTAATACCTACAATATTATTTTTTAGATGCATTAAGAATTACTGGAACTTTCTGCATGGGAAAGTGATGCAGTTAGATTTGTCTTGCAGAAGTTGCCTCTGTGGCAGCAGGATCAAAGGCATGAGGCTGGAGACTCCTTATTACATTAATATAGTAAAGGCTGGCTTCATGTATTCCACAAAGGCAGAAAAGAAGGTAGAGTAGCAAGATGTTCTTAGTATTTGTAATTGCCCCCTTGTCTCTCTAGATAGAATATTAGGAAATAACTGTTGGTTGTTCTCTTCTTCTTAGTTGGAATGAATGATGAGAACATTTTGAGAAATCTGGGTTTGACAGCCCTTTCCTCCCAACTGTGGGTCACTTGCTACTCAGAGATTTTCTTTCTCTTTGCTTTGAGGGGGAAACAGTAAGTTCCTACTACCTACTAAGTCTCAGAAATGATGGGGTGTATTTCCACTGTGTGATCACACATCAGTATGCTAGTTTCATGGGCTTCCCATCCCAGAACCTGGGAATACATTCAGCAAGTATTTATCAAGCTCTTTCTCCCTTATTCCAGTGGCTGTCTAGGCCCTGGACGTAGAGATGTGAAAAGTTAGCCAGGGTCACTGTCCAGAGAAACTTCTATTAGAATGGGAGAAAGAGGTAACAAGCACATACATAAATAAAATAATTTCTGATGCTTATAGGTGCTACTAAGAAAACAAAATTAGATAATGTTGTTAGAAGTCTTTGGCTGTGGTAGAAGCACATTAAATCTAGTGCCCAGAGAAGTTCTCTCGAAGGTGGTGACACTTGATCTGAGACTTAAATGACAAGAACACAGACAAGTGAAAATTTGAAAATTCTTGGCCCTGAAACAGAAGAAGCTTTCTGCACAAAAATCCAGAAAGGAGGCCAGTGTGGCCGGAGCCCAGGAGTCAATGGGAGAGTGGAGGAGACAGGGCCAGCCTTCCACGCTGTGCGTGAAGCTGGGTGGGTGAACTGTACTTGTCCTTCAATCACGCGTTTCCCTGGAGGTCTGCCTTCCCCAAAGGTGTTCTGTCACCACGGTCAATGGGCTTCCTTGGACACTCATGGCTTCTATTTTGGTTATTCTTAAAAGGCTGCACTGGTTCAGAAAAGATAGAGATTCATTGATAAGTGCTAATTCTGATATACTAAATTCACTGATATGGGAAAAGAAATGATTTGCTTCTGACTCAGACCATTAATTTCTTAAGAATTAACATTGAAAATGTCATTTAAAATGTGATTTACTTTATGTATATAGCAACCCCCTACAAAATACTTACTGTAGGCCAGACATTGTTAGGTGTATGAATAACAACTAATTGAAACTCCAATTAACTCTAGGAGTAGGAATTATTTTTATCCCCCACTTCACAAATAGGGAAACTGAAGCAGAAGTAAGTATGAAAATTACACAGCTAGTATGTTCCTGACATAGGATTCAAACCAGGTAGCCTGACTTTAGTATCCATGCCTTTACCCGTTCCAGCCCACTCCCTCTAAAATCCATTACAATGAACATATTATATTTAAAAGACTTGACATATGAGCTATCTTGTATTTCATTCAGAAAGAAGGTATTTATAAATATTGCAAAGTATGACTTTGATCTACTAAAGAAAATAAGAGAGCAGACCTGTTTCCTGTTGATATATAAAGCATCATCACTTTTTATCATCTCTTGAGGCTGGAAGTTTAGCTTAGTGCCTGTGTGATAAAAGCAAATTTTATGACATATCTAAAATTTCTATTATGTTCATGAATATCTATCTGCAAGGATGTTTCAATAACAAACTCACTATGTATGAATGGAGAGCAGGTTTTGAACATACAAATAATTTTTATATCATTTTAAATGTGTCATGAAGACATTTATTTCAGAAATTCACCCTCTGTGACAGTGAGAAAAATTCCTGTCCCCAATATATATATAATGAAGGGCTAGCAAAGATGCTCCTGTCTTGCTTGTCAGTGAGCAGTACTTATGAAAGAAGGAAGATGAATTGTCAAATCTTTGTGGCATGTCGGCTTGATTACTGCTTTTATTCACAGGATACAGACTTTGTATAACCATAGTGTGAAGGATTTAATGCTGCACCAATGAGTATTTGGTAAAACATACACTGTCAAAGCAATTTTTCTTAAGTAGCGTTAAGTAATGGAGCATTAATTAGAGGCCAACAGAGTAAAATCACACTGCTCTAGCTTGCCAAAGACATTACCTGTGCGTCAAAAAAAGTGTTTATGACCAGCATGTTAGCATCGCATGCCAGTAATCTGAGCAGGTGGTCATTAGAGACTTCTGCTAGGAGCCAGATCGTTTTCCCCATGAATCGCTTGGTAAGGTCCAGGCACTTATTTCTCCCTGAATGAGAAAGTATTCTACTTCAAATTGCCAAGGTACCTCTCCATAATGGCAAGGAAGTGTTTTAGCAGTTCTTTACAAGCTAGAATGATTTACTGTGTTCAGAAATTTTTGATCTGTTTTATTGGTTAAACTCAAAATATCTGCTTTATTGGATAAATTTAACATATCTGTTAGATGCCTTCTTTCTACTTTACAAACAGCGTAATTGAAAGCATTGTTTTGGTAGTCTTCTCAGAGGACCACATAATCACAATTTAAATTAGCCATAATTTATTTTACATTTGCTTATTTTACTGTTAACTTTCCCAGAACTGTATTTTTTTTTTTACAATTAGAACATCTGAATTGTAATTACATTACCATCAAGAAGCTCATTAAAGTCACTTAATTGGCAACATTTCCAAAAAAACCTTAGCTGGGTTTAATATATTTTAAAGAGTTACTGTCAAAGTATAATTTCACCATTACAAACAGCTTGGCAACAACATTTGCATAAAGATCTGTCAGTTTCTGAAAAATGCTCAAATGTTGGGAAAATCAGATTCGTTAAGTCGCCTTTACTGAAAGAGTCTAGAAATGGAGAAATTGTCATATATATTCATATTTGCAACCCCTGCAGTTCCCAGAACACTGCCACGTACAACATAGGTATTGAAAAATGTTTCTTGAGGATGAAATAAAGAAAATAAATTACACATTTTGTATTTCTGGATTTTCAAAAGAACTTAAACCTCAATCAAAGTTTCCTCATTTGTGTTAAATTTAACAAAATACCCATTTTCTTGCTGCTTCTTTGTCATTCACTCTAAGAAATATTGGATGGTCACTTAGAATTTTGGAACCTTTTAAAATAGCTTTAAGGACAGCATAGTGGTACCAAATTTGAGATTATTTTTTGAGATGGTATAATTTTGTGACAGTTTCCCTCTTATACATACTAGAATTTTATACCTAGAGCACTGATCTCATTTGAATTTACATTGTAGTTATATTCATTTCTCACCTTTACAAGACTTTAAGTTCCTGCCTATAGACTTGCATCCTGCTACATTTTTTTTTGGAAGGGGGGAGTCACCTATAGTACCTAAAACAGTGGCATGCAATTATATTTGTCAAATGAAAGCATGCAAATCTCAAGTTTGTGATCTATGAAGAATGATTATAGTTCGCAGCATTAATTAAGGTATTTGGAGATTGTCCTTCCAAATATCTCATACCAAGAACATAATGTGGTAAAGGATAATTACTACAACTTGCTTCCTACAAATAGAGAAGATAAGATATTTTAAAATCATCCCTTTTAGTTTAATATTTTCTACTAAAATCTTTCCTCTTTGTCATTTATGTATCTTATATCTTCCAAACCAAAAGAAGAATCTAGCAGAGCTGTACAAAATGTGAACATTGAAAAATAAACCCTGCCTTTTAAATTGCTACCTTGCCATCACTGTTTCTTCAAAATTTTGCACAGTGTCTGGTGTATAGACAGACTCAATAAATGTTTGTTGAATGAATGAATAAATACATAAACACATGTTGACAACCCTGAGGAGCACCTGGCTGATTCTACCTAAGGGGGTCAGGGAAGGCTTCATCAATAGTAATATAGAGTAATATAATAATGTAGTATTCCATGAACACAGGTGTTCACTCATGTATCGGGTGGTGAACTGTACCACATGCTAAATTCCAAGATACAGTCATGAAGATTCTTCTGGGATAGCGCCATCCAATAGCACTTGCTGTAATGATGGAAATGCTGTACACCTAATACCTACAATATTATTTTTTAGATGCATTAAGAATTACTGGAACTTTCTGCATGGGAAAGTGATGCAGTTAGATTTGTCTTGCAGAAGTTGCCTCTGTGGCAGCAGGATCAAAGGCATGAGGCTGGAGACTCCTTATTACATTAATATAGTAAAGGCTGGCTTCATGTATTCCACAAAGGCAGAAAAGAAGGTGGAGTAGCAAGATGTTCTTAGTATTTGTAATTGCCCCCTTGTCTCTCTAGATAGAATATTAGGAAATAACTGTTGGTTGTTCTCTTCTTCTTAGTTGGAATGAATGATGAGAACATTTTGAGAAATCTGGGTTTGCGTCACACGTTGCCCCACGCAGAACAGAAAGGGAAGCTAATCATTCTCTCCCACCCTCGCTGTCAGCAGTTGCCCGGATGTGGAGACAAGGGGCTGTGGCCAGTCCTGAATCTGTGAGTCTTGAGCAGGCTCCCTGACCACTGCAGAGCACCTGCACCTGAAGGGTCAGGCGGGGCCACGTGGCCTGAGTGGGAGGCAGATTTCAGCAAGCGCTAGTGGAATGAGTGCCAGACTAAGAAGTGCCTGAAAACTCTCGAGGCGCCCGTGGTCTGTGTGCCCTTCGAGGCCATTCTGGCTGTGATGCTCCAGGCCTAGACTGGTGCTTCCGGCTGCAGAACATGAGAGAAGGCATGGGGCCTTCTACCCACCACCGGGGCAATCACGCCAGGGATAGGGAAATCATCTGGGGCAATCCGTGCTGGGAAACGTGCCAGCGAAAATCCCCTAGGCGGTGGCTTCATGGAGACTTCCAGCACTCATTTAAGAAATGTCCTCTGGTGCCCTGGTGTAGATTTTTTAAATTCTGTGGCAATCACAGAGATGGCAAGCCACCCGTAAGTTTCTCGTTGATGGGCACAGTTACTACCTTTGGCATTACAGGTATTAGAGCTTTATTTGGTTTTCATTTTCAAAATGATCTCTATTACTTAGAACCAAAAACCCCAGAAAAATTTCATATAACAATTTTCCTCTCCAACTAGTGACATCCATTTAATTTACCCTTTGCTTTAGTTTGGTGTGGGTTTACCGATCTGAGGGCAGTTATCATTACTAATTCTAAAACGGGATGTAAAATAGGAATATTTCCAAATTTGAAGCATTTCTTAAAAGGAGCCTGAATTCAAAATTCCAACTTCACCTTTATCCAATGCTGTTGGTAATGCTGAAGAAATACTCAGGGGGAAATTGAATAAACATTGAGTGCTGCCTTCAGGGTACCTCCACAAAGTGCATCTCAAACTTGATTTCTGAACAATACTTTTTCCTACTCTGAGCCATTCATGCCAGCATTTGGAGTTCTAACTACAAAAATCCAAAACAGCTTCTAGATTCTCCTCCTCCATAACCCCCCTAACATCATTCCTGTACTTCCCTAGAACAAGCATTTCTTCCTGGGATAGAAACTGGAACCTGAAATTAATGCACAGGGAGAAAACAAGAGCCCTTTAACTTCTGACTTTATTTAATTCCTCAAATGAACAGGGGAAAACGCGGTTCATGTCCAAAGCACAAGGCATGGTTTTTTTCGCCTCTTCCACAGAGTGTGAGAAAATGTAAACAATATTTAGGTTGAACTTCTGAGTCCTCCTAATTTCTTGCCAGCCTTTAGAACAACATCCGTTTGTTTGTTTACACCAACATTTAACAGCATAAAAAGTAAAACAAGCAAATGGTCTGAGGCATTTATAAGCAGTGTTCAGATTGTGGTCCAGCTTGGCTCCGCACCATTTTTAGTCTGACAAAGAAAAACATTGCTTTAGGAAGTGGGTCATGTGGGTGTATAAGTGCTTCGTGGACAGGCCGGAGATGCCGTGGTTCTGGTCGGAGTACCACTGAAACACAAGGGGAAGGAGCCTGTTTGAGTCCCGCAGCCACGCATAATGCCTTTAGCTTTGACTTTTTTAGGCCCTCAGGACCTTGTAATTTTTCTAATATTATGGTTGAAATTCTACCCAAGAACACTTGAATAAATAATAGTTTACATGCACTGGTTTAGAACAGGAAGATTGGAAGACCTTTTGTTAACCTTCCCTACTGTTTCATATTCTTTAAACTTACAGAGCTTGGTGGCCAGCATCCTGGGGCATCAGAAATCGGGCACAGGTCGCAGAGCTGGTGCGCTTAACCTATTGCTTGACTTCTCTGGAGCTTGGTTTCCTTATTTGAATAATGAGGGGACTGGATTTGATTTTCTCTAAGGCTCCTTCTAGCTCCAAAATCCCACAAGGCTTTTGGCCTCTGAATCTAATTCCTCTCTAATGTGGAAAATCTACAACACATAGAAGAGTAGCCTTGTTTAGGAGCTAAAAATAGTATCATTAAAAAAAATGAAAACCAGAAGATGATATGGTAAATGTAAACGTTATTATTGGAGAGATGCTAGTACGATTATTGTTTTTACTGAAGAAAGGTGGCTGGTGGTCCTGATGTAATAAAAACATACTTACAAGTTGAATTTCCTTGGGATCATAGTGAGAAAAAAAAAGACCAGAAAAATCTCATCTTACCTTTTATAAACTATCTTAAAAAACCATATTTCTAAAAGATGGGGGTTTCCATTTCTGGGTTCTTGTTCAAGATAAGCCAGTGAGGGAGATTTCTGCTCATAGAAGAGGGGGAAGAACAGCTGTCAGGGATTGTCGCCCTTGCCTTGTTTTCCTGTTTCCATTTCCTCCGTTCCTCATATAACCTGGATTTTACAGCTAAGTCACTCATTCCCTTGCTCAGTAAAAACAGGAGCTTCTGTGATGGGTCAGGCATATGCCAGGGGCTGAGAACAAGCACTTCGATGAGAGTATCCTCTGACTCTGATTGGAGCTGCATGACTTCCGGAGCCTCCTGGGTTTCTACTAACATCCTGCAGTTGCTTCTTACTGAATAAACAGTATCTTCTAGCTGCTTTAGGGCTCCCAGATTTTACAGAGACTCTAAACATGCAGCTACACTGATGCTCATAGGATCACAGAAGTAGTGGGTGCTAGAGCTAGAAGATCATCTAATCTTGCAGCTGCCTTTATTTTATATTTGCCTCAGCTAGGATCCCCAGAGGTGGTATGAACTGCCTGGTGTCCTTCAGAGAGTTAATGACGGAGCCAAGATTCAGTTGCTAATGTTCTGCTTGCTCTACCCTACAGCCTTTTTGTCAGGTTTTAGTAAATTAAAGAAAGAAAGGAAGAAGATTCCTCCATTTAGCTTAGGGGTCCAAGGCCGTGATCATGAGTAAAATGAAATTATGTACCATTGCCTGGAAATCCACTTGTGCGTTAACCAGAGCTTTAGCAATCTGTGCTGAGTTTTGAAAGTGCACATTATCTGCAACAAAGAGAGAGAGAGAGAGAGAGTTAAAGTGCTGCGAAATACCAGAAAGCAGAGAGTGACAATGTACTGCCTGGAAATGAACACCAACAATTATCTAGTCATGCCGTTGACATTGTCAGCAGTGAGTCATCACACTCATTTATGGAAATGTCCCTGACTCTTAGGTACTGACCCTGAGGATAGGCATAGGAGGATGCTTAATGTTTCTTAAACAAAGTGATGTTGGCTCAGTATTTTTATGTGTAAGAGTCTTGCTTAAACCTCACCATCTGCTGTTCCGTGGATGAGAAGATAGTCTACATTTCTGAAATATTCTGCTCTTGCCATCACAGTTGAATTCTGGAAAAGAGGAAAAATTAACATTTTAGTTGCTGCAAGCTCTAATAGAAAACTAGCTAAATCATTGTGCGATGGACTTAGCACCAATACTGAAATTATGTATTGCTTTGGTTGATAAATATTTAAGAGTCAGAGCAACACATTTTCATGATCATTTGCATTGCTTCCATCTGATTCTTAGTTTGAAAAACTGAAAGTTTATGTGTCATATGTTACATATGAGTGAGACCTTAGGCATAAATGATGCCCGCTCAAGCTGTGTTAGGGGTGGGGGTGGGGACGAGAATGGGGAACAGGGCGGATGGGGAAAGAGAATAGAATCCAAATGGAGTCAGTTCTTTCTGGTGAGGTGTTTTGTAGCTCACAAAGGATCATTGTATTTGCTTGGGGACCTGACAAAAGTGTAGATTCTGAACAACTGCTTTAAAATTAATTGGCATTTTTGAAATAAATTAATGATCTGAGAAGAAACGAGAATGCTTACTTTATAGTGCTCGAGATTATCATCCTTTGTTGGGAAGCCCATGAATCGCTCTGTGTAGATAGATGCTACAAAATATATAAGAATATCTGTTTGCATGTGTTTTGTGTCATTTCAATGATCAACAAGACCACCTCCTTTGATGAGGGCCCTCAGTCTGTGAAGGGAGGTTCCTGCTGAGGACCAGTCCTGCTTTCCTTTACTGTAGCGCTCCACCCAAGTCATTTGCTGGGCAATTTGCCTCAGGGCTAGAGAAGCAATGGAGGAGGAGATCATGGAAACTGGAGCAGCTGACATTAGAAAGGGCTGGTCTCAATCTTTTCCAGTGCTACTCAAGCCCTTCACTGGGGGGAATGTTGAGAAAGGAATGACCTCACCCCATTTTAAAAGAAATCACCAATGCAGCCACCTCTGCGACTCTTTATTGCTGTCTTAATTAATCTGAGATGAAACTATGTCCCCCAAATCCTCCTCCTCCAACACACACCCATTTTTTTCTGAATAAATATTCCTTACGAGTCATCATTATCCTGTTTCTAACCCAACAGAGGGAAGAGGGTATGATGAAAACTGATTTTTGTACAATTATCAGAGTTAATTTCAAATAACCATCCTGCACTGATGTTAATCATAAACACAGACACACACGGGAAGTGAATTTCTCAAACAAACTTTTTTTTTGATTTCGGGTGATGGAGCTGGCAGCAGCAAGCTGGGGCATGGAGGTGAAATCCTTGGCCTGACTTTGCATAAAATGTGCTTACAAGACAGTTATGCTGTCCCTGTGTGCCTGCAAAAACATAGAGTCAGCTCTGCTTTTAAAGATGTGGTTCCACAGTGGGCCAAAGGTTTCTGGGAGAGAATAAGATACACTGGATTTTAGCGGAGTCCTTCCTCACTCCTAAGATTTCTTTGATTTGTTACAACACGACTATCATGAATCATCTAAACAACTTCATTTATAGATTATATTTTTCCCAGTGATGCTGGGGTGAATTTTACTGCATAATTTGTTTTCCTAGCAACCTCAAATATAGAGTAATTATGTGTCAAATGTTTTCGCAGCAACATTTATGAAGTGTTTCCATACCGTAATATTCCCAGCTGGAGACTGGAGCCACCGCTATCCCGCATTTGAAAAGACCAGTTCCTGAAGCCAGGGCCAGCGATGAGACATACCCTCCGTAGGACTGTGAAGACATTGTTCCCAGTCGGTCCCAGATTGACTTTAATACACTCTCCAACATTTTTATAGCAACTCTGCTCACAGGATATGCTGATGGGAGTTGGAGGCTATGGACAGGGTAAATTAAATGTCTCTTTTGCACCCTTGGCAACGAGCTCTGCCAGACATAAGAGTAATTTCATCCCTAGTAAATTATAGTTGGTGAGCTGACCACGACATGGTGGGACAATTTAAGAGATAGATATGATTGCAATTCTTCTGCAAAAAAAAATACTTCTTTTTTTTCCACTCTATGTTTTTCCAACCAGGACCTTGCTGGAGCAAAAATGGGATTTTATTTGAAAGAAAAGCAAAAAAAGGAGATTACTCCCAAAACGTAAAGGCAAGATACTTCCCACAGTTTGCAAAAGTCCCGTGAGGCAGATATTTATCTATCTATGTACTTACGTATTTTCGTAATAGAACAGCAAGAGAAAGGCATAAGAACCCTTTGAATAGTTTAGGATGTGGTCAGTTTGTGTATAATATCGTGTAACGTTCTGTCTTGAGGATTTCTGGCAGAGCAGTTCAAAGGAGGAAAAGCCACTGATGTCTTTAAAAATCTTGCATATCCTCCCATAAATGTAATGGAAAAAAGAAGAAATACAAGAGGGGTTACAGACTGCTGAGTCAGGAATAGGCTTAGTTCTCATCAATTTCCTTCCCCAAGGAATTGACTGTTGATTCAGAAATGCAACACTGACAACAGAGATATCTGCCCTTGTCACTTGGAAATCTGAACCTTTTCCTAACAATAAAGACGCGAGCAGAGCATCCCACTGGGGCGGCATCTCCCTCTGGAAGGCAAATCCGGTCAGTGTGAACATACTGGAAGGGAGATGTTTCTCCTGGGAACGTGGATTAAGCAGTGTTCTGGCACATGGACCCGCAAGAATGTGTATGCTACGCTAGGAAGTGGTTCTCTTCATTCATTCTTCCTTAAACACAGGGAGGTCCCTACAATCCTAAGGACAGTGTGACCCTCCAACCAAGGGCATGCCTAGTTTTTAGGACCTTGTTTTTATTACCACAAACTTCTGGGCATCACTTTCCTTCAGGTCAGGAGAGAGCCTAGCACCCTTGGTCACAGAAAAGTCAGTCCTTAGTGTGAAAGAGTGAGGGGAGGGCCTAAGGGCCCGAGAGAGACTGACAGGCACGGTGACAGTGGCAGGTGAGTGGCAGGGGTCTATTCGCAATCCATGAGGTACATGGAAGGAGGGAATAAGAAGAGAACCAATCTTGCTGAAGTCAACAGTTAAAGGAAGACTTCTTTAGCTAGCTTACAGTTTTATGTTTCCAGCTCTGGGGAATTTTAGTGAAGCCCCTTGGATACAAAATACAAAGTAAGAGAGGCATCTCCAATTACACCAGGGCCTCCTTTTATGATATTTGGCAAACTAAAACATGTTTTAGTAGGGGAAAAATGGATCTTAAAAACAGAAGGAACCGTGGGGTTGAAAAATCAGATTGGAAAATAAAAATTCTCTTTCAGGTTCAAACTTTCACTTACAAAAATAATTTGTATTGATTAGCAGGTTAGCAACAACTCTTACTGGAATGGAAGAGCCCTCCTTTCTCAATCTTAGGTTCACATGAGAGTAGAGTAAGCCTGCATCCTTTAGAAATATTATCACTCTTTATGGTTTTATTGGAAAAGTGCTTTCACTGCAAATAACAATTCTGGTTCTTGCTTCTTTCCTATGCTCCAGAACAGGAAAGAGCATGACAGGAGATTTTACATTGAAAGCATTTGCACATACAGTAAAACGGTCTTTGAACATTTCTGTTCAAAAATCTCAGGAATTATTAATCTGTATCTACTCAATGATTAGATACTTGTGCTCTAAATAAAATGTTCATGTTTTCAGGATGAATACAAGTTGTGTCTAGGAATCTGTAAGAGCAAAACTACTAGACTAGCACGGCCAAAGAAGGTGTACTTTAAATTTTCAGGCAGCTTAGAAAAGCAATTCTTATTGTGGAAATGAAGAGGAAGGAAAAAAAAAAAGCCCGAGTTGACTTTTTTCTGCTCTCGCACGGGTGGGGCCCCGAAGCAGAGTGGGTGGCTGCGGCAAGAAAAGAAGCCACAGAGCAGATTGGCCATGAGAATTCTAGAATTGTGTCCTTTGCACTTAGACGCTTTGCCATTTTGTTTAAATGAAGGATTTCTTTAAAAACATTCTCAGAAGGGCACAGAATTTTGAGGGGTTTATAGAACACTCTGATGTAAGCCATCACGCATATTGGAACATTTTATCTCCTGGCAATAATAATAACTAGCTAACGTTTGCAGAGCCAAGGTTATTGCAACGTTCTTCGGTGGTCCCAGGCAATTGCTCCCTTCTCCCACCTCAGATGTCCCCCTGCTCACTGGCTTTCTTGATGTTCTTGCATTCTCCAAGCATGACCTAGCTCTGGGACTTTTTCAGATGCTACCCCCTCTGCCTAGATATGCTCTTTCCCCAGAGATTGGCATGGTTCACTGCCTCCCAATTTCAAGTCTTCAGTACAAAGAAAAAAAAGCTCAACTATCCTTCTAATCTAACATTGTGCCAGCCCTGCACTATGCTCCTTTCTTATTTTATTTTGTTTTCCTTCACGGCACTTATCACCATTTAACATCCTGCACATTTTACTTATTTATCTTGCATATTATCTTTCTCCCCAAGCATTCCCAACTCTGTAAAGGTGAAGATTTTCATCTGTCTTGTTACTGAATGCATCCCCAGCACTAGACAGAATAAACACCGAAGGCAATAGAATAAATATTTGTTGAATGTATGACTTTCCTCTTAACCCACATAACCCACACAGGGACTTGGTGAAGAAATTACTGCTCCATTTCATGATAGAACTGAGGCTTGCTGTGAACTTAGAGTAGTTATGAGGTCAGTAAGTGGCAGAGTCGGATCTCAAACCCAGAAAACTTGACTCTACCACCCACACCATTTCCTCTCTGTCCCAACATTAGGGCAACCTCCTTGGGGCACTTTAAGTTCAGAATATGATATAGTCTCTTTAGAGGTACATTTGTCCTACTTTTTTTACAACGTTGATCACACATAGCAATTCAAATTGCTTATAATTAGTCAGTGGAAGAGACAGAAACTAAGATTAAATCATGAACTAATGCTTATTCAACACCACCTGGCTAGGTCTATATTAACAAAGCAGAGCCCATAAATGAGGTTGTTATTCTAATAATTTAGGCAAAACCCCCACTGCTCCTCAACCGGCAGAATAATTGCTTCAATTTTTCTTTGTATAAACCAGGGTTTTGCAACCTTAGCACTATTGGTACTTGGGGCTGGGCTGTGCTTTTTTATGAGGACCTGTCATGTGCACTGTGGGATATTTAATAGAATCTCTGGCCTCTACTCACTTGCCACAAGCACACTCTTCCGATTATGACAACCAAAAATGTCTCCAGACATCGCCAAACATCCCCTGTAGGGGAAAATGGCCCAGGGAAGAACCACTGTCGTAACAGATACTTAGGCAGAGTGCTGGATGCAGAGCAGATATCAAATATGCAGCTATCAAAACAGGGCTACTGGACTGTGGTTTGTATGGGTCAGAAAAATGAAGGAGTAAGATAAACCTTTAATCTGGATAATGGAAAAAAATGTAGGATTTACAGGCTTTTTACTAATGGACTAGAAAAAAATGTGTGTTTAGCTATAATATATTTCTCATCCCACTGAAGTGCTTTACATTTCATAGAAACAGATACCTTCTTCCCTGATACAGAACATAGCACAGCAGCTAAATGACGCTCACGGCCCTTGTCAGTCTTCCTCTTTCCCAGCTCCAGCCTCCCAGAGGTCCCTGCGCAGTCTACCGTAAAAGGGCACTCAGAGCTACGACCTCTTCCTACCCCCTACTTCACTTCCTAAATTCAGGCCTTTTGTATGTGTTGCCAGGATTACTGCTCTCCTACCCTTGGCCTACTCCCACCCTCCCATCTAAGGCCATCCTTTACTCTGCAGCCAAGAGTCTTTCTAAGACAACAATTCTATTCACTATTACCTTTAGGGCACTTCTGAAAGAGGTACCCAAGGAATCAAATACTTCTTGGTAATACTGTGTTAAACAAAATGTAATAGGAGTCTTTACTATTCCTTCACAGAGCCTATCTACACCATTATAGAGAATTCATTATTTACCAAATTACTAAATCAGAGAACCTTTTCCTGAAAAAATTTCCTGTTCCTAATAGGACACATTTGGGGGAAAACAGACTTACAGGATTAACTTCACTTTAAACATCAGAGATGCATAAGATGGCCAAGTATTATGTTGAACATTTGAGAACCAAAGCTAAAAAAAAGAAAAAAATCCTTTCCCTGGATGAGCCTACATTCTTGTAGGAGAAACCAATAGACAGAAAAGACAAAACATGGTAACTCCTATAGGAGCAGCACAAGGAAGTCATATATCTGAGTTGGGTTTTAAAAACCAAGGGTTTTCAATTTTGGAGTTTGGAAAGGTGGGAATGGAAGACGAGGATGAACAGTGCAGGTGCAGGGAATAGGATTTACAAAATTATGGGGACATGGAAGCACAAATATAAGTCAAATTATTCATAAGGTGTGGGGCGATGTGGAGAGAGAGAAGACTGGAAAAGCAGGTTGCAGGCAGACTGCCAAGGGCCTTGCATACAAGGAAATGCGGCTGGGTGCTATGTTGAGGTCAATGAGCAGCCCTAGAAAATACATAAGCAGAGAAGCAACATGGGAAAAATTGTGTTTTGGAAAAATTACTTCATTAGCAGCACTGGACCTTGTGAGGCCAAACCAGGGAAACTAGTTAAAGAGGCAAGTGGAATAGTTAAGCTTGTGCCACCCAATCTACAGTCCATGGACCAAAAGAACTATCATTCCTTGGGACAGCGTTAGAAGTGCAAACCCCTGGGCCCCATCGGAGAACCGAATCAGAGTCTCTCTGGCGGTAGGGCACTGGAAGCTGTTTTAACAAGTTCTGCAGGTGATGCTTATGTGAGCTACAGTTTGAGAAGCTCTGGCCTAAATTATAAATGAAGAACACGAGCTAAGGTCATGTCAGTGGGGACACAGAGCACGGACTTAGATGTTTGAAGGTAGAATTGACAAAATTTACTAACCAACAGAATGTTGGTGTCAGGGAACAAAGGAAGTTGAAAATAGCTCTGAATTTACCAATTTGGTGCCTAAGTGTGGGGGAGGTCCTTAGTAAAGATGAGGGCTTATTTTAAAGCAGACTATGACAAGCTCAGCTTGGCCAGGCTAAGCTAGCGACTCCTGTAAGGCATTTGGGAGAAATGATCAGTAGCACTTGAAATATGGAGAGAGGCGGGGCTGATGGGAGGGATTGGTGGCCCTCGTCATCTTTGAGATCACAGGGTTTCCCCAAGGAAGTGAAGAACAATGACAGTCAAGGCCAGATTCAGAAAAACACTGAGATTTAAAGAATGAGTGAAATTTAATGATCTTAGGGACATAGAAAAATAAGAAGGGCACTATGTCACAGAGCCATGGATAAAGCCCACTCCCCTTTATGTGGCCCAGAAGGCTTCCTGATATCTTACTACCCACCTACCCAGACCCATTTCCTACACCTTCCGCACCACATGCCTTAGACGCCTGAAATTGCAGGCATTCCTGACCTACTCAGAGTCCCCATGTACGTCCTACTCTGTTACCTCAGGACCTGGGCAATGTTGTCTTCAAGCCCTGGAATGAATGCCCTGTTACCAACCGAGCTTCACCAAGGCCAAATGCTACCTCATTTCTGAGCTTCCCATTAGCTTTCACAGAATTAACCGCTCTTCTCCCTGGTGTTCTCCACAATGAATTGCATCTCTCTTAACACTTAGAGGATTGCAGACCAACTGCTTTTTTGCTCTGTGTTTTCTCTACAAGAGAGCCAGAGCTATCATTTTTCATCCTCTAAAGAGCCTAACGGAAGACCTAGTTGAGATCTAACAAAAATTTACTATCTGGATGAAAGAATGAAAGAGTCCATGCTCAGATGGATGGATTAATAAATATGGGTTGGTCTTGAACTCACAGAACTGATCAAACCATATAGAATTAAGGTCTTTTTTCCTCAGGACCCTCTGGGTTCCCCTGCCGACTCAGGGGCCACGCAAGGGCTGTATGCATTGGTAGACCCCTCATTACTTTCTTCTCCTGCACACGCTCTCAGGGGTTTTCTCAACAATCACTGCATCTTAGAAAGTAAGCAGCAAAGGGAGCCTAATATACTCGTTCTTCCAAAAGCATTTGCACAGACATGGTGAGAATCTCTTATTGGAGAATTTCAGACTGATATGGATGTATTTTGGGGTGATGAGTGGGTTCCTTGAATCATCCCACATAGATGGTTTTCTACCAAACGAATACCTAGAATTTGTAGAAATGAAATTAAAAGTTCCCCTTTAGAGTTATTTCAAAGCCAAGAGCAGAAGCAAGGTAAAACTCCAAGAGAAATGCTAAGCTCGTAAGTAAGTGCTCAGCTAGAAATTTGAGTCATTCAAAGATTTGCTTTAGGAAATTTCATAAAAATGGATAGGAATGGTTTTACCTGAAACATCTTGCTAAAGAAATATTTCATTTATTTCCACCCTTGCATTCCATTCTGTATAGGTATTTATCATTTTATAGTTTTAAGGACCAACTGGCTTGAAGTAATGACTTTCAACAAATTCCTAACAGCTCTTCATCTGGTCACTGAGCTGAGAGTAGAGCCGAAGCCTGCAGATTCCTTTCAATAGTGGGTTTCATTCCCTCCGTCTTGTGCAGGTCACTCTCAAGGAAAACATTCAAGAAAAACAACCCAAGCACAAATGGCTGTTCACTGACTTGCAGATGTACAAAATCAGACCAAAAAAAGTGAAACAGGAAATCTTCTTTGAAGGACAATTATCATAATTTATAATGGGCAAGTCTAAACTCTTTCCAGTATTTCTCTAAACTTTCCAGCGACTGCGTGCCCCTGATTGGTAAGTTTTGCCACTTCCTCTTAATGTGCATTTGAAAACCTGCTCAGCTCCTCAAACATGGGAAATTATCTCCATGACCTGTAACTAGGAAACTAAATTATATTTCTCTCTCCAGTTCACACAAATTAATGTTAGGTCTGGTAAGAGAATTTGATTACCAAAAAAAAAAAAAAAGAGGGATTAAAGCAGTTGACTGGAATAGGCTAGGGACTGGGGAATTTTATATTCTGAAAGTTCCTGTAATTTCAAATTTTGGCTTAGCTTTTCATAAAAGTACAATGATGAACTAAAAAAATAAAAGATATATATAAACTCTAAAATAACAAAAAAAATAAAGCTGACGAATATGGTTCAGTTCAGCATACTATACCTAATACCCAAAAGTTAAGCAAAAATATCAAATAAGAGTTAATTTGCTATGTAGGGAAGAAACCAAATGATTGGGAAAAAGGAACAAACACTTAAGAGCCACCACTTTGAAGCCCAGATTATCCACACTGACTGTTTCCACTGACAGATTAAATTATGTTACAACATTAACATTTCATGAGAAACTTTATAAGCGAACACTTTAGAAAATGATGATTGCTGAACTGAATAACAGGCATAAAACATATAAAACAACTCACCCAGCCCCATATGGCTATTCTTTTTTCATCAATGAAACCCATTTCTATGAATTTTCTAAAGTAAAAGAAACAAATTTTTAGAATTTTAAGTGTGTACACATGACATTTACTTCATTACACAAGCATATTTAATCCAAAGCTTTAATAGAAACGCAACATTTTCTTTGTTTAAACACATGCATAATGAGGCTGCATTACAAATAATTAAAAGATTATTATCATGTTTTCTTCAAAGGATAAAAGGATTCTTTAGACTCTACAGTACGTCTATTGACTAGTACTTTCAGGACTGTCAGGCTATGCCTCTTAATTATGAGGGTGAATTACTTGGGACTCAGGTCAACAGACAGGGTCACAGTAACACCAGAAGTAATAGCAACATTACTAGGATAACATTTCCAAATCCCCCAGATTTTGGTAAAAACATTTTTGTTATTGCCATCCTAAATTTCACCCATTTCTTATGATCTTGTTTGCTTAGCAGTTAATGATAATCACCTTCTCATTTTTGGCCACATCCATCCATGGAAAAATATCCATCCCTCTCCCATTTCATACTCAGTTACCTTTAATTTATCACGGTATGGACAATTATATGTGTCTTTGAGGATACAGCCACGATTCATTTGTGCCCCGTCACAGGAAAGCCTCCATTTGAAAATTAGTTTGAAAATGTATCTTCCCTTAGAAGCAAGGGGCCATGCTAAAGGGCAACCTTTAAAAAGTCATGAGAAGCCCTCAGAAAATAAACTTTGCAAAATTGCTGCAAACCAGGACTGTTTTTGGCTGGTTTATTCCCTGCCCCCCCCACCCCCCCGAGGGCTGATGTTCTAGAGCAATTGTGATTTATTTGGGGAATGGTTGGATAAAAGCCCAAGAAACTCACAGAGAAACAGAATCGGTGGGAGAGGAAGGCAAATGGGCCGAGCCATCGCAGGGGCCTGGATGCCACAGTCACAGGAAGGCGGGCAGGAGACCAGAGGGACCCATACGGACCCAGAAATACCCTTTTTTTTTGTTCCCTTTAGTGAGGTAAGAGCCCGTTTTCATTGTTCTCTGTTAGCAGGGCAGAGTGATCTTCATTAGTTGAATAATGGAGTTTCTTAAAGGGATTTCACAGCAACCATTTTGCTCGTTACATCGATTCAACATGCACGTTTCCGATGCACTGAGGAGTTGGGCAAATGCCCGGGACAAGCAGATGGGAAGAAGCCCCAGCAGTCACAGTTTACCCGACGCTGATTTGGAGGGGCCCTGAGATGGCTGCGGGCTACCTGTGTGGATGCTGTTCATGAGAAAGAGAGGAAATGTGCAGCAAATTGTGGCTTTTGGGCGATGCTTCTATAAACTTCAAAAATCAAATGAAAGATGTTAAGGTTCACTTTCTTTGTCAAAAAAAAAAAAAAAAAAACCTTGCTACTGGTGCTTGAAGACAATTCTGGGCCATAAACTCAAACGTGATTTTATGATCTCCCAGAAGCTAGCAATTAGATTGCTTGCATCTGGGGTAAAAGCAAATAGCAGGTGATCCATGGGAACAGGAAATGCTTAACAGCTCCCTTCGCAGATTTTTTTCTGTAAGGATGACATTTACAGGAAATGATAGTGTAATAGTTAACATGGAAACGAAACATTAACGGTTAATGTGGCAGGACCAGATTACAGGTTGGCTGGATAACCTGAGCACTTTGAGACCAGCAAAGCTCTATAAAATTTACCTCCAAATTCTGAAGAGCTTCCAGGAGGGAGATCAGAAATACTGTTGATAATGTATTAGATCATCAAAATGTTAGTAACAAATGAAAAAGCTTCTTTTTCTAACTTGGCGCGGGATGGGGAGGAGCTGGACTAAACTTTGCAACTTTTCTCTCATAAAAATGGCCCTAGACCAAAGGCCAATTGGGAATCCTAATGATCAATCATTATTCTATTTTGGTAAAGTTCTTAATGATACCATGTATAATAGTGTAATATGCCCTCAATTATGTAAAATTTCAAAATTGTGGGAATGTCAAAATGCCAAATATACCAATGAGCAAAGTTGACCCTAAGTATCAAAATTTTATAGGTCTCACTTATGTACCATTTGCAGAGCCTGAAGAAAGCAGGTGACAGTTTCCCTTATGCTTTGACCTCACAAGCATCTCCTCTGAAGCATTCTCTTTTGTACAGTAAAAAGTTGTGAGGTTGTATGACTTCTTTTTCTTTTCCTCCTTTGCTTTGTTTGAATCTATTGACCCTGACTAGTATTTCCTGTTGTTTTTAGACAGGGACATAGGATTTTTTTTTTCTTTCAGTATGTAGAGAATTTAGCCAGATTGCATTTTATGGGATTTAAGGGTACGCATCTTATTCTTTCTGGAGGGGGAGGTAGTTTGAGGGCTACCATAATCCTAATTCCCCACATCAGACATTCAGCGTCATATTCCTAAAATACTTCTGGGAGGGACATGTGCTTGAATAATTCCCAGGGTTATTATTATAAATTTATCCTTTTTGGCTTTTGTTTTCTCAAAGCACTGGGCTCCAAGTCTTCCCTTTCACTTTTGCAGAATAACACTTTCAAGCAAAGTTCAGGCCAACCGCACTGGCATCTCCACGGTTGCATGTATGCTTTGCCTGGGTCACACAGCTGCCCTTCATTCAATAGGGTGTTTACTCCAAGTTCCATCTAACAGCAATGCCATCCCTTTAGAGTACAGGTGGTTTATCCACTTTACAAAGACTGCAAATGCATGTATTGAAGGTGGAGATTGTAAATTGCACAGTTTTATACAGAGCGTATTGCAGTGGCGTATTACATCGGATCTGTTGTTGAATGGCTGAGTAAATGAGTGAATACATGCCTGCTCCAGGGCAGGAAGATTTTCCTCAGGTTCCATCCTAAAAGTGGATCCGGGAAAATAAAGGTAGCCAATTACCACCTCTGGTCCATCTCCATTCTAAATGCCAAAGACATTTATGTTACTGTGAAAATCGGTAGAATTTGTGACTTTGTGTTCCATGTGTTGAACAACGGAGATATTTTTCATTAAGGTCTGTATGTGGGTTTCAGATTTAAAGTTTCATTCCATCCAGGGAACACCTTAAAACACTATCTATTCTGTTCCTTCAGGTGTTCTTGAATTTGGATGCTGCTTTTTCAGTGGTAAATAAATGCACAAAAATATAATGACATTTTGTTGTTATTGGTAAGTTGTGATAATGAGACGGTGATGCTGATGAGATTGTTTTTTAACCACTTCCAGCTATACCAACTCTGGAAAAGATCTAATTGAATTACAAATGAGATGCAACTTACATCTTTGTCTTTTGTTGTAGCCCCAGGATTACATGTCCTTGGTGTATGTATTGCCAGGTATAAATACAAGTAGAAAAAATTCCTTAAGGAATGAAATCTATAATGCTGACAGTTTTGTTAATATTCCATGAAGGCACACTACAATCTTTATATGAGAAACTGATCTCTCAGTGGGTTTTTTCTTTCAACTATCTCTACCCCGTCTGTCCATTAGGTAGAAGATTCCAAACAAGTAAATGGTGGAAAGGCAAAAAATCTTGATCAGTAAGAGTGATGGAGCCTCCTGGAAATTAGGTGTAAATGATGCCTACAGATTGCGAAGTGTTATTTAATTATTTATTAATTTGTCAGATTTTACTCAAGTAGGGACTTTGCTTTTGATAGAATATTATATGTCTAAGGATGTGTATATTACTGTTCACAGAATGAAAGAAAATTTGAAAAGACAGGGGTTATGATTACTTTTCTATTTAAAAAAATGATTACTTGTGAGTCTAAGCTCTTTTGTTTCAATGAGAGAAAAAAATACACAAAAGTGTTGTCTGGACCTGGCTCCTAGTTGTTAAATACAATGTGTGTACATGTGGCATTGAAATCAGTAACTACTGATGACGTTAAAATGATAAAAAAAATGTACTAATGAATTTGCTAAATTGCTCTTTGCTGTGAGGCAGTGTTTGACCTTTAGCAATCATGCATCCATACGTATCCATGACTAACAGTGCCACTGGCCTGTATTCAGCTTAGCATTTATAGACTACAATTCTCTGACTTCACCCACTCACACTTTAATAACAGAAACCCAACAACTGTAGACAAATAACTAGTAGAACCCTTTACACTATTTCCAAATAAGCAACAATTTTGGTGACTATATTCTTTTGTTTCAGGAAAAGATGATTGAGCTATAAATTGTAGTGAAAATGTAATTGGGAAGAAGTCAGACTGTGAGTCTGTCTTTCCTCTAAATGTTTTCATAATGTAGTTTCTCTTATGTAAAGTGATTTTTTTTTGTCAAAAAAAGGAAACACTTTCATATGAATATAGCCGAACTTCACAACTAGTTTAATTACAAATGAATGACTAACATCTGTAAGTGTACAGTACTGATGAAATCTTGAGACATTTCTAAATTTATGAGTCAGAATCCACAATGATTGAGCAAATTCAGACGTTTGGGCTCCTGGAGGCCATCCCTAGAGTGACACAAATATTTGTGCCAGTTGTGAGCCATGCTAATAGGTGAAAGGACATTAAAATGACAAATAGCAAAAGACAGTATTTGTCACTTATCATTAGAAATTATTTTTCTACACATTTATAAGCTCTCTTTCAAGAGTAATTTGTTCTCACATGTGGTAGAAATATCCCATCAAGATTAATGATAGCTTTAGATGAAGGTAGGAAAATAGACAAAAGAATTAAAACACTAAGGATGGGGAAACCCAGCAGTGATTGCACGACTTTTTTGCACACCGATTTCTGTTTGAAGGAGAAGGCGCTCACCTGACAGCTGTGATCTGGTCCCCGACTTCATAAACACCCAGCTTTCGGTAGACTGCGTACAGGAACTTGTCGCCCTGGAAAGCTGTCCCTCGACCATCAACCAAGGCAACGACTATCCCTTCTTTACTTGCAAGATAAGATATCCAACTAATAGCGAATACAGACTTGACGCTCTGACTGCAGGGACCACCATACCTAAAGAAAAAAGAAAAAAAACAATCTGATTCCTTTGTAAAATTCAACTTCCCATCATGGCCAAGAAGTGCCTTTAGTATTTCCCAGTACATGTGTATAATAAAATTTCAATAACAGTGGCATTAGAATTGGCTCAAAATCAAGAGAGGACCAGGCTTTTCCCAGAGGTTTGCTATAAGGAAGTTGTTTTGGGACACAGCCTCTCCTATTCCCCAAAACGGATACATCTAGGGTTGGCATTTCAAGGAATATGTGTGGGTTTTTCGTCATTTCTGCCACCTGCCACTTGCTAAAAGCAGGCATAAGATATACTAAAAAAAATGCATGGTGTTTTAAGCAAATTGTGTGTAGGTCAGCCCTGATTTTGGGTGTGATTCCATTAAATGTATTCCATTCCCTTATTTCATTTCTAACTCAATTACATAAGATGTTAAGATGCTTTACAATACTTTTTGGCTGCAATTTCTCTATCTCAAAGGTATTCTGACACATTAGGCAATTTGCCATACAAAGGAAATTCAACATAGCAAATGCAAGCAGGTCCATCTAAAAATCTCAAGACTTCCTCAATCTATTTTAAATAGCCATATTTTATTTACTCTGATTAGTTGAGGAATATATAAAAACAGCATCAATAGGAACTGTTATCAAGGAGAATGGTTCATTCTATCTCATAAATGTGTATTCAATCCAACATATTTTCAGTAAATAGTTTTTGCAGCAAAGAAAAATCACATACACTTGAATTAGCAAGGGATACTTCTCTGATCTGTCAAACTGAGGAGGAAGAATCATCTTGTACCATAGAGCTTAGGGGGAGAAAAGGAGAAAAAAAATCTTCATTCCACTATACTCATTGCATTATTTTCCTTAATTGCAATATACAATATAACATCAATGCATAACTAATGAATTGTTAAGAATCAAGAATGCTTTAATTTGATTTTTATTACATACTCCTGTCTAATTTGCAAATTACTAGAAGTCTTGAATTACTGTTTTTCTAGAAGCACACATTCTAAAATTAAAATTTGAAAAAGAGAGAAGCTGTTTTTAAAAAATGCCAGTGTTGAAATGAAGCTATAGAAAAATATAGATCAACCCTATTCACAAACACACTAAAGACATTTTGTAAAACTCCAATTGTTGTTATACTGAGATCATTTTAATTAAGATCTTATAATATTGTAGGATTTGGACTATCATATTAACCCTACAATTTATTTCTAAAAAGCAAGATGTATGTTCAGCTTCATATCTATCATTGAAAAGTTTTTAGAAGATCTTACTCATTTCATCCACTTCAAGTTTCTTAATTTCCTCTTTGGGCAGCTGGATATTTTTCAAAGCATTTTCTAATTCCTTGTTTTCTTCCAGGATTTTAATTTCTTTAAAAAAATAAAGTGTTCATTTTTAATTAATAGCTTTTCCATAAGAAATTTCTTTTCTTAAAATTCCCTTGTGTTTAATATGTATAAAATGGAAACTGTGTAAGGATTTCTTAAGGAGTTTCATATTAACAAGCATATTTTTTATCCTCCTTTAAAGCAGGTGTGAGTTTATGAAGGACACCAATCACTGTCCTCTAGACTGGTCCTTATGGCATCAAAATACATTTTGGGCAGAATCACAGAAGCAACAGTATTTATTTAACCACATTTTTCCATCTCCAACTTTTCCTTTCATTTTTAACATGAAGCTATGACCTGAGTAGGCGACATTTCTCTTTTATCAGAAACCTCCACTATAAAATATACTTACAAAGTTTGCTTTTGAATTTTCAATGTGTGAAGTTGAATATTATTTCTGTGATTTTCTAAAACTATTTCTTTCTTAACCTTTTCCTGTTTTACTTGTTTGATATAGAATATTTTTCCTTTTTTTGTAATTGAATTACTGTGCGTCCTATTCCTCCCAATCCTTTCACTCAAGGCAGTTACATATCTTAGTAAAATAACAATATATACACAGTATGATCTCCTTCTTTCACCTTAAAAAAATCTTCTAATAAACTACTATTTATATTTTAGCTTAGTTATATTTCACACTTTACTCTTTGAATAAACGCATTCATCTCCCTATGCTGTAGATTGCTGGCATATGCAAATGGATTTCTAGCAATAGAGGGCTTTTGTAAGCTTTGTTTTGAACTGGAATCGAGAGCTGGTATCTTCAAGAGAAAAGTTAGGCTTTCATATAATATTCAGACTTGGCAGCTTTATTTTTTTCAAGAGGATCTGGATGAGTTCTGAGATATGGCAGTTTTTACAAAAGACATCTTGTGGACCTCTTGGTTTGATGTGTTTTTTAAAAAGTGGCCCTTGAAGGTAGGGAACTGGAGCAGCACTTGTGACTACACTAAGTTCTCCAGACTGCCTGCTTTGTAACTCTGTTTTTCATGTACGCATGGCATTTTGCTCCAACATGTTATGTTTAAACTTAGAACAAGTATAGATGTTTTGGTAAGAGTTGTTTAAGATGCATAATAAATTTCATTTGAACTTTGTATAATCCATCAAGAAAGAGATACTTGTGGTATCTTAAAAGTTAAAACATTAATAAATAAGTAAGTAAGTAAGTAAGTGAGCAGATAAAATAATTACAGAATTCTAAGTACAGCAGAGCTGGCTCTTCATTCTCCGCGTGTGGGTACTGGATGCGGAGCTGTCATGGATAAAGGGAGTCTTGTGTTGAGCAAGTACACAGAGCGGCCTCATTATTTATTTATTTCACCGACAGGTTCTGGACATTGGAGAGACTATGCAGGTGTTACCACGTCGGTTTGACTTTGACTGCTTTCTGTTCCCAGCTACTGAACTTTTCTTATTCACAACTTACTGAGAGGCCAAATTTAATTTAAGAACTGATTAATGTTTCTACAACCCATGGAACAAAATGGAGTTTCATGGGGCTGTGAGTAAAAAAAGGGATAGCAGTTGGGCTTCTCTATGTAGCTTTGCATTAAAAGCCTGTAACATGGCAAAGAATGTTAAAGTCCAGACTGCACTTGTTACCTTCTTCCACTCCTTGTTGCACACTCAGTACCCAGCATACTTAGCACCTAGTAGGCAACACATAGTATATGCTTTTCACTTATACATTTGTATGAAATTTTTGTTGGAATCAAATTAACTAAGATCTACTACTCATTAATTAAATTACATGAAGAATATTTGGAAAAGCTCTTGACACAGGCCATTCAATCAGTTGGGCAATTTTAATAAGCACCTGCTGTGCAGAAGCTATACCTCAACTGAGCCCTCAGTGTCAAGTGCCAAGTCTTCTGGTTTCTATAGCAATTGGTTCATGTACTACCTTTTATTTTCAAATGACCTTGTCCCCTTTGCAGAGAAAATGAAGCCATTGCATTGTTTTCTGCAATGTCTTCAAACTTTCATACAATGACATTAATGATTTTTTTTCTCTCTAATTGCAATGCCAGAAATGATCAATCCCCTCACCTGTCTCTGGACTCCCATCTTTTCCCAGCTTCTCAGGGATCTTCCTCCTTTATACCTTCTGGTCCCCTATTTTCTTCCATCAACACTTGAACATGCTCAAATATTTATCATCTTTCAAAATTAATAAAATTAAACCTCTATCAATCCTTTCCAGCCATCTTCCCACCTCTTGTCTCCTCTTGTCATTCAGACCTGTGGAAAATGCTGTCTCTTTTTATTTCCCTTCTAGACAGGCCTACATACTTCAACCTGGCTTCCATCCACACTGCTCCACCGAATCTGCTCTGACTCACCTAGCGCCAATCTCCCCCTTCCTAAGCTCACTGATTTAGGGCAGCTCTTGCTTCCCTCTCTGCAGCCCTTGACATGGAGGAGCACACCCTATTTCCTGAGCTCCTCCCCTCCCTGCCTTCCCCAACACCATCGTCTCAAAGCTGTCCTCTGCCTTTTGTGCTCTCTCAGTCTCCCTTACAGGGCCACGTTTCTCTTCCCATTTCTTATGTTGCTGTTCTGCGCAGTTGTATCTAGGCTCACTCTGCATGACCCCCCACCCACTCTGCTGTATCATCCACTTCCGTGGCTACTGCAAACATGTATTCCAGAAATGAATGACTTCTTGATTATCCTCTTCAGTCCAAACTGATCCTCCAATATTCAGACCCCAAACTATGTCACTCCAGGAAAGCTCTACTTAGATATCCCATTGGCACCTCAAACTCAGCATTTAAAACAAAATTCATCATCTCCCTAAAAACATGCTCTCCACTGTGAATCCTCTCTTTCAATAAAAAGCATCAACATCAATCCACTTGATCAAGCCAGACATCCAAGCAGCATTAATCCTTCCTTCACATTTATGAGTCTCCAGTCTGATGTAATTATCAGGAGGAGACATTTCCTGATCCCAAACACCAAAGGAGGTGCCCGCCTATGTGCTTTCATGCTCCCTCTCTTTGCCCTACTTTAATAATTTACCCCGCTGAGTTGTAACTGCCCATCCACACAGTTATATTCCTTACTGATCTATAACGTCCTTGAGGACAGGGACCATATCCAACCCACTATCTGCTCATTTTAAGTATCCAGTACAGTGTCTGGCTTAAGGTGACAGGTACTTAATGACTATCTGTTGAATGAGGGTCTCTAGAACCAAATGTACTGCCAAATGTGTGAAATAAAACTACCATTAAAAAGAAGACAAAGTGCCTGCTCTTAAAAGCAGCTCCCAGACTCGTCTGGGAATTTGTAAGGCATACAGATTCCCGAACTCAATCCAAGATCTACTGATTTGCAATTTCTGGGGAAGGCCTGCATGTTTGCATTTATCAGACATGTCTTGGGAGAACTTCACCATTAGGCAAGTTTGCAGAACTGTGCTCTAAAAGAACTTACATTTTACTTTGAGAGTTAGAAAACATGTAAATACATATGCTGTTTGTGAGAGTAACATGGACACGGCACCTATTTCGTGTATTGAATGAAGTAATAAAGCTTTGTAAGCAGGACAGATATTGGTATCCAGAAGGAATATGAAAAGGATGGTAAGAAAGTAAAAACTGATGCCATGGAAAACAGAAGCTAACCTTTATTTTGCAGTTATAACAAAATGGGAATTATACATTTATGGTGATTTCTATCAAAACAAAACAGATTTGAATGTAGTGTTGCTTTAAAATGTCTCAAACTCAAGGTTAAGGTGAGAAAGATTGAGAAATACAATCTGGCGTCATTAAAAGTATTTCATTATAGATACAAGGTAAAAAAAAAAAACAATCTTCAAAATGAAACTAAACTCACAGTCCCACGATTACAATGCCTGTCCTGCCCAGAGCTCCTGAACTGACTGTTGTTTTTCCTCAGTACCTTATTTTCACCTGTACTTGGTCCTGAGCTGGCAGCCAAACTAATCCCAAAGGAGCCTCCTGACTTGTCGCCAGAGCTGTCCAGAGACAATCACAGGCCTCAGTGCTGACGTCCCTCCCTGTCCCCCAGTCTCCATCCACTCCAACCCCGTAATGTCTTTTTAATAGTGAATCAAAAGATAACCAAAAAGTTCAGGAAGAGTGTCAGGGCAATTATACACTTGGGTAACTCTGTTGAGAGCAAAAATGGTCATTTTTTGATCTGTGAACTATTGTGAACGGATATCGCAAATAGGGGATGGAGGAGGACTGCCTGGATAATAGTCGAAAATGGAAAGAGTCTCCAAATTTCAGGACTCTCATAAGTGGCAGCAGTGTGATTAAGCTGTTAAAATAAAAAAGCTAGTGCTAGAGTCACCCTCTGCTTTGAACTGGAGTTATATCTGGAATTTGTCTCCAGTTTGGGATGTTACAAACAGCAAAACAAAACAGCCATTCTCACTGAGGAGGGAGGTTATATTATATACCCTAAGTTTCCTTTTAATTCTAAGCTTTTGTGTTTTTTATAAGGCTGATGAGGAAGACAGGATTAATCCCTATGATGTAACTTACCTGTTTTGGCAGGTTCTTACTGCATAAAATTAATAAATTTCATTTGATCAAGTTTAATTCAAAGCATATCCAAATCTGCATCATAATAAGATACGTGATAACAGCATCTTATCACGGCTCCTCCTGCTGGCATGGGGAAACTGTCCTGCTTCCTCTGGGGTAGTATCACCGGGGCTTCCGGGATTGTGTAGACAAGGCAATAGCACAGGAGACAGTACCTTGATCGGTGCGGCCATCATGAAGGGTAGAAATGGGGAGGCCTGGGCCTGTGCACAGGATGGAAACAAAAAGAAGGTTTAGTTTTAAAATACCAGTTTCAGTAAGAACTGCTAGTAGTATCTGTGATTAGTGCCCAGGTCAAGTGCATCTTTTAATGCAGCTATTTTTTCCCATTGAGAAATAAACATCTTCTAAGTTACATTTAAACAACACATGAGATCAAAGCCCAATCACAGATGCGAGGGGAGGGTTGCCAGGAGCCTTGTCCGCTGGTCCTGACCAGTTGGCATCCGATCACACAAATGGGCCCTGGAAGCTACGGGGAGAAACAGCCTCCTGGAAGATGCCATGCTGGATAGGCTAGTTTTAGCTGCATCTTTATGATCAAACAACTTTTACCAGTACCCAGGTTGTAATTTTCAACTTGGCTTCTTGGTTCAATATTCAGCTCATTTTGATAGGTAGGACCCTGCATCTTTTTTTAATGTAATTAATACACGCAGAAAGAAATTCATATGGAACATATTGCCTATTGAGATATGCTGTGGCAGGTTACACTTCCCAAGAAATAGACCCGGAAGGAGTTTTGAGGGCCAGAAGCTTATCTGGAGGGTGGCACCAGGGATGCTTACTTGTGGGGAAGGGAAGAGAAGGGTCAGAGCATAAGGAATTGAGACATAAATCTGAATTCCTTGACGTTAGTCCGCCAGCACCCGCCTACGGGATTTTGATGGTTATGCAGTCCTTGTAGCAACAACCGGCACCCCCTTTCCTATAGACTGTGAGACAAGCGATGACTGACCGCCCTGGACACAGGTTGCTGGAGGGTGTGGTCCCAGTGGCATAAGCACTGTCTAGAATCCCTACTTTGCACTGCTTTTGTTTCATCCAGTCGTGATTATGATTTTTACGTATTTTAATCCTATTATCTGGGATTTACTCATCATCTCTCTTGGATAGTTTGAAGTTACATAATGAGGCTTTACTCTTAGTCCTAAAGGGAAAGATTTCAAGGTTTCTCTTATGATGGCACGATGACTCATTCCTCTGGAGCTTCAAAAACACCAGACGATGTGATGCTTCCCACACGGTGTATTTTTTGCTAAATGGGAAATTACCATACTGCCGAGCAAGAGGGAGCATGGAAAAGTCAGGCAATTCAAGTTCTAGAAAGGACTCTAGCACCAACTTTTGATAAGCAATTGGTCTTTGCTTCCATCTCTCTTCAGTGGGCATTCAGGCTCAAGCAATATTAGGACGATAAGGTGCGGCCATCGTGACGGGTACAGTGCTTTCAAAAAGGGTTAAAATGCAGAGTGCATATAAATATAAACACAGGTATATAAGTGGAGGGTCAGTGATGTCTTTATAAGGAAACACATGAACCTAAGAATGAGTTTTTCAATAGACTTTGTAAAAGGCAGACATGCTTTGATTGTCTCTGAAACCTATGTCCACTCAGTATGCATTCACTGTCTATTATGCACCAGCCATTCTTCTTGGCCTTATGAACATAATGATTAAAAGAAAGCAGCCTCTGTCTTCAGAGAGAAGGACAGACACACAGAAGAACAAACAACACAGTTAGTTAGTTCAATGACACTAAAGGCCTGGCATGTAAGCTTTTAATATATGTCACGTAAATACATAGCATGGAATTGAAAAATGTTGCATATAACCTGAGAGGGACACTTAAGGATACCTTTAAATGCCACAACTGCAAACAGCACAGATAGTCCTGAAGAACGATCTTTTGACTTTTCAAAGATGCCTTTGACCAAACATTCTGTGGAAGTGTTGAATTGAACTTACATCTTGTGCCCTCCTGAAGGAAGCATTTGGGTTAAAATGCTTATACATTTTCACATAGTCAAATGAGCCGGGGCTCAGGTTCTGGGAACATGTGATTGGAATAAGAGATGTGGCATGTTAGGGTGGCCTTTCTTCTGGGAACAAAGGGGACCTTGGGGTCCTTTGCAACTGGACAAAGGTCTGTGGACTGTAAATTCCAAGCTTTTACCCACCATGTCCCACAGGGACCTCAATTACTCAAAGATTTCACTTGCTCCCCAAGCTTCCCACCCCAATTGGGGAGTTGATACTAGAAGCAGAAGAGTGGCCTGAGTTTTGTAATAGCCTCCTTTGCTTTTTGTCCCCCACAGGGGAAACTCAGCTGTTAATGGGAGGGACAGGACAGAGAACAAAGAAGTGGATATTTCCCAAATTGGTTTTCCAAATCTCCCTGATGACTTCCAACACCCCATTATACCTCATCCATCTACCGATCACCTGGCCTAACTTGTTTTATTACTTGCCACATGTTCAAGATAGATAAAATATTATGCATAAAATAAAATCATTTGGATAGAAATTACTTACTAAATGTATACATGACTTAAACAACTGGGAAATGTTTAGTATATTCTATCACCTATGCTTTTTTCATACATGAATGAGTTACTATGTTTCCCAAATTTAGAAAGGACATACTGGGTGATACATGCTCATTTTTCCATGCCCACTGAAACTACAGTTCAGAGAATTACTGGCATCTAAGGCAAAGGCGCCCAGGTTACTCGGTTATTGTTTTTGCCTCTGGCTTTAGGAGTTTGGCATTTCTCCAGGCAAATGGTGCTGAAGTCCAGCAACCCATTTATCAGAGAATGCTTCTTTTTATGATACTGTTCAAATCCTGCTATGATAGCTGGTTTGCATACATCATGGTGCTATGGTACATGGTGGGTAGAAGCTTGGAATTTATAGCCAACAGACCCTTGCTGTCATTCTGGATCTGGTGCTTAGCAGCAGTGTGGACCTTGGGCATGTCACTTTGTTTCCTCAGCTGCAAAAAATGGGGATAATAATGCTTTCCTATCTTCCTTTCACTGTTTTCCATAAGCATTAGATACAATAATACAAATAAGTTCCTCACATATAAGAAGTGTTTGAGAGCCCGCAGCTAAGGATTGAGCAGAAGATGGTGGTGATGAAATGAGGGGTAGCAATGGGTAGAAGGGCTTGGCCAGGTCCGTTTCCTACCGTAGCAGACGAGTGCGTAGTACTTCGCGTGGTCACTGAAACTTGCTGTGTAATACTGGCACCTTTTTCTTCTTAGATGGCAAGTAATGCACTTCTTGCTTGGAGGATAGCTTCCAATGCTAATTCTAGAGGAAAATGAAAATCAAGCGAAGCTGAAATTTTGAGATTGTATTTATCAAAATGCACTACTCCATGTAAAATGGCTAATTTACATATTGACATCAAACCCCTTCTATTTTTCTGTTGCCAATATCATTTAAAGTGAAGGGGAATCACAGTGTTTTGAGGCAGCCTGATTTTTAATCCCTCTTTGCCTAAATAGGCACAAGCCTTGAGGGAGAAGTGCTCTTAAGTTTTCCAGGGGTGGGAGAAACATCTACCACCTTGAATGGGGGTGTGATAATCATGCCTCATAGCCACTCAGCTCTGACGCTCCACAAAGTGGTTAGAATGCAGAGTTCATTACCTTCCCTTCTCTCTTTTCATACTCTCATGGCCAAACAGACAGGGAAACTTGGGCAGTCTCACCAAGAAAGGGGTCCCTGTTCTTACCATGTTTCTGGAAGGGGAAATCAGTGGAAGGCAATTCGGAAATAAGAAGCCATGGTTCTAAGCACCTCCTGTACCTTTCTTTCCTTTAGGCAGGAAATGTGGGCTCCTGAAAGCTCTGCCTGGGAATGCTCGCTCCACACATTTATACACCAGCCCACCTGTACCTCCCACAGTGGGTCCACTGCCTCCTCAGTGGAACCCTCATGTGGTTCCTGAGTGGGGTGACTGGCTTCAATATGTGGCTTCCCAGACCCTACCCCTCAGAATCAGGGTGTCATTTGGGGCCGACGAGGGGGTCCTGTGCCAGGATGGAACCTCACTGAGGCTGGTAAGGTTACCTGTGGCTGCCACAGTGTCCCTTCTGCTGCTGTCCCTGAGCTCGCCTTGGCATGGTAGAGGGCGACTAGAGGCATTGCTAGCACCAGGAATCTCTCCCACAGAGAAGGACCCATGATCCAGGAGGGAGCAGAGCAATGCAGCAGCGGGAAATTTACTTCTTCTGTTATGGTTAGTATTCATGTTCATATTTTGATGTGATCTTGGAAATATTAGGTAGGCAGTTAGCAATAAGGGTTGAAGTCAGCATGCCTAGGTAAAAATTCTGGCTCCAATGTCACCTATATCATAGAATTGTTGTGGGGATTAAAATTTACATATGTAAAACTGACAAAAAGGTGTCTGGCATATAGCAGGTTATCAGCCCTATTATATTATTTTTATTTCTACATCCAGAAGAGGTTGTTGAAGAAACCATTCCTATCACCAAGGGGACCAGTGGGTTAACTTAAACACTAAGTTAGAAACAGAGATGAATTCCTTCCAATCATAATAAGCTCATGTCAATGTGAACCATATTAAAAGAAATTACACATTATGGGAATAAATACAATGCCTGGTACACAGTAAGTACTTAGTAAATGTGTGTTAAGTGAATGAAGGTTCTCAATTACCTCTAAATTTGGTTGAACATATTTAATATCATGTTTGTATCAGCATTAGAATTCCTTGGTTTTTCTTTTTGAAAAGAAACATTTTGAATTAGCTAATATTTTGGAGTGTATATTTTTATATTGAAGTAGTATACAACATTATCTGAATTTCTATCTAAATTCATAAATTATTTTTATTACATTTGAGTCCTTATAAATATTATCCTGAAGACTCTGACAGATTTTCTTATTCAAATATCAATTTATAAAACCAGAGTGAACTGGTAAATATTACCTGTAGATATTTCTTCTTCCAGAGTAGCCTTCAAATTCATTGCTAGAATAAAACCTGAAAACATATGCAGAAGTTATTCAATAGGTTTTGATGACTAAATGCTGACACTACAGTTAGTACAGTTAGTACTAACAGAGTAAACAATTTTCATCCAGTGTTCACTGAACAAAACTATTCATGGACATTTATGGACATATATCACTGCTGTTCATAACTCGGAATTTGGTGTACTTACTCTGATCTTCAAACTATAGGAAAAAGATTAAGTCGCGTTATATTGAGTACTTTTAATTCTCCATATATTGTATTCTTATTCATTAGTTATGAGCTCTGCAAAATAAATTAGGCTATTAGACTAAGATTACCCCTTTCCTTGTCCATGATTACCAATTTACTGGTTTCTCTATGCTATCTTTGGTCTATGATTCTGAACACTCTTTGAATTTATTTTACAGTAGCCCTGACAGTAGATAAGTTTGCAAAAATTTAGGAAACTTATCCATGCAGGGCTACCGCACAAAGGGGCATATTAATTTACCCAGATGCAAAAAAAAGTCGCAAAAGAACATACTTGTTACTTGAGTATTGGGTCCCAGTTCTAACCTGTCTTAATATAACCATGAGTGGAAAATCCAATTGAACGGCATGATTTTCACTTCTCTGTGGGTTCATCTGAATATCACAAAGTTACTATCTTTTGTTTATTTGTTTATTTTAAGGAGGAGGAAAACAGGGTGTGAAAAGTTTGGAATAACCAAGGTTTGGTTAACAATTTTTAATTCTTAGGACAGTTAGATCCTCACTGTCATGAAAACTTTGTTATTCTCAAGGAAAAGGAAAAGGCAACAGAACACAACCGACTCATGGAATCAGATTTGTTTTCCAGACCAGCATCCTCCTCCTCCGGGCCGTTACTAATGCCCCGTGACTCCAGTCCCCGCTTACCCGCACTAGCCTTTCCCACAGCCTCCCAAAGTACCTGTGAACAAACATTATCTTTCCAAACAGCCTGCCCACCCCGCCCCCGCCGCAGTCCTCCTGCTCCGTCGCAGCTCTCGCACTGTCTCCATCTCTAACACTTGCAGCAGAGTCTCCTCGCCCTCTTCACATTCCCTTTTCCCTCACGGCCTCTCATTCGTCAGTCCTCGTCAGCCTCCATGTCTTTACCGCCTATGCACCCTTCCTCTCATTCATTTATCAGATATTGAACTCAAGCTCCGTGTCAGGCACTGTGCCAGGGATGCAATAAAAAAGGAGGCACAGTTTCGCTCAGAGCTCATCTTCCACGGCGGCTGCTCTAGTTCAGGCCCCGTCACCGCGGGTCCGTGCTGGGACCACAGCTGTGTCTTCCGCCTTCTGTCCCCCCCACCTCCTAAGCCCATCCGAGTGCGTCCGACATGTCTCATCGGCTTTTATCTAGCCGCTCCTCTTACACTGGTTGTTTTCACGCCTGTTCCATGTGATGTCCAAGGTCCTTTGTGGACCATTCAAAGAATTCCATAGATTGGCAACAGGTCTCAGTCAGGCTTTTATCCAATGAGCCTGCACTAATGATCCTCGGTTTTTTTTCTCTTATGATTCTAGCTAATAGCAAGCAGATTATAAGAGAGTACCCTGGATTTGGGCTTTATTAGAACTGAGGGAAAGGAACTCTACTTTCATGGTTGGAGGACTTTGCTCATAAATTATTATTTTAAGAAGGTTTATTTAGACAGTATGTAGGATGAAAAGGAAAGAACTTGAAGGAAAAAGTCCTGTGCTAAGGTTAACAAGAACCTGAGATGGAATATGTTTTGAGTTTGACTTCCAGTTCTGTCACTAAGTGGCCTTGGCCAAGTTAATTAAATTTCCAAGTATTGGTTTAGAATGAGTTACTACTTAAAAAAAAAATTATAGTTTTTATATAATTACCTACCAAGTCTCAGAAATGACCACCTACTAAATATTCTTCCCAAAAGGAAATCCTGTGGACTGGTTATTAAAGAGTCACAGCTGTCTGAACTATAAAGTAAGTAACAAAATGCCCTTAACTAAAGGAGGTGGTGTATCATTTGTATGTCCATCAGTGCCAATTAAAACCTGAATGGTGCATCATGTTTCATGCAATACTTACAGTGAATCCTGTGTTACTCTGAATATATTTATGGCCTCCCACTTGCCACTTGTAATTTGAATAGCATTTTCCTATAAAAAGACAAACATTATGTTGTGTGAAGCTGAGCGTTATTTGAGCAACCTCAAGTGAATGATCTTTGAGGAGATAAATCTTGGAAGGAACATACCACAGTGTCTTTGATATAGTGAATATGTTTGTAGCCATCCTTGTCGCTAAATATTTTGTAGTATGAAATGGCATCAGAGCTGAAAACTGGTGTTGAAACAAAGAACTGAAAAAAATGAACAGAGGTTATGTTGAAAAGACAGACCTAACTACAACTACAGATTTTTCAAAGCACTGTACAGCTGTGATCTCAGGAATCAGAGCGTCTTACTTCTGCTACCTTCCATCACTCACACCTGACATTTCATTCTTTCAGATAGACAGCTGTTCTGGTGATTCCAACAGGCATCTGCACATTTCAACTACCTAATTGTTATCCCATTAATATATGTAGTGGGTACATATAATATATGATGTTTAATTTGATTGAATTTCTATGTTCTGAGATCATGTGGTTTGACATAGAATTAAAAGAATCACAAATGAATGTTGATATTTAACCAAATCAAACTTTAAAATGCAGTATTTGACCAAAGTGTGACTCTAATGAAGGCCATTAGTTCTTACAGTTTGTGATTTCTTTGGTGCCAAGTATCTAACATCAATGATTCAAGAAAGAAAGACATTTTAAAGACTAAAATACGGCCTGCCAGCCACAGTTTTTAATGGTAGGGAGGGGTCTTTAAGACTTGAGAGAAACATGTTTCACATAATAAGCAAGTGGGAGGTCTATTCTTTGTGCTCAGAGAGCACAGCAGACATTGCACATCTCTGATGGCTTCCTAGGGGTCTGGCTGGCTACCTGCTGGAAGCCACCTCGAGACGGCCCAACACTCAGCTCTAATGTGCCCTGGAATAGAGCAAGCTACACCTCAACATCCTGAATGCTGCCTTTAAATAAAATCCTACAAATGTCTTTGCACCAAATGTTAGCTAGTAGTTCCCATTAAAAAACTGACTCATCTTACATTTGCTGGCTTCTTTTTTTCCTGGTCATCAGTTGTGGAAATACAGTAAAGTGGTGAAATGGCTGCATGAGCAAAGAGCTGTTCTATATCATGCAGAGTCAATATTACCCCAAATAATCCATATCCAGCTCTCTCTAGCTGGAGGTCTTCCACATGACCGTGAACCAAGACGTTCAGCTCCTTTAGAAACAACTAAGCAGCAACAATCAAAAGACCACCAGTATCTTGTAGCTATAAACCCCTATCCAGCTGACACCCAGTCTGAGACCCACTTTTGAGCCAGAGGAAGGTACTGTAGACCTCTTTAATGATGGGACCATGTGTGATCCGATAATTGATGCTTTCTGATAAGACTGATGATTATGATTGTGTTGTAATAAAATGCAATTATTTGATGTGGGGTCTGTAGTGTTCTGAAAAATGTTTCCCAAAATTTATTCCCACACCGAAGAACCTCAGATGGTGACTGTTACGGACTGTTTGTGTACCCACAAATTCACATGTTGAAATTCTACCCTCCCATTAGGATGTTATTAGGAGGTGAAACGTTTGGGAGGTAATTAGAATTAAATGAGGTCATAAGGGTGGATCTGTAAAGGGATTAATTACATGATTCCCTTTAGTTTTGAAGCAGGCAGGGATTGAAAAAAAAGGAACTCCATTTTGGAGTGAGCCTCCATCTTGGGAAGGTGCCTGACATGAGAACACATCCTTGTAGAAGTTTCTCTGAGAAGGGAATAGTTATATTATGTAGGATAGACATAGTTAAATGGCACTCAATCAGTCACCTGTAAATAAGAATAGCACCTGGTCAAGCCCAAGTTCTAGGTTAACTTGACCTGTGGCGATTTTTTTTTCATTTTTTCCTTCTGTTTTTCTTCTGCTTGTTTCTCAAAATAATCTTTAAGGAGATGGTTCAGCTCAGAAAGCCTCTGTTCCAGGAAAACCTTTTGACTAACAGACTAACAGACTGTGAGACTATAACCGGACATCTGTTAAACGTCAAAGTAGTGCCTCACTGGGGAGACGTATATGCATGAAATCATCAAGAGAGATTAATCATTGTCACACCTCCAAACCCCCGGACCTTCAAAGAGTGCCATTGTAAACCCCACACCATGCCCTTTCCAGGCAGCCAACTCCTCTCTTTCTCTAAGCAACCTTGTATACAAACCGTCCTTAGTAAGCCTCGCCTGGTCTATTGTTTAGAGCTCAGTGTTCCTTGCATAGCACGGAGACTACATGACCTGGTTGTGGGAAACCAGCAACAGTTTCATTAATAAGATGACCAGCTTTGGTAGGATTCTGTGCACGGAGACTAATGTCTCTAAGTGAGCTGGAGAGCCAAGAGACCCTTGAGCAGGAAATTCTGACTGGCAGTTTTGAGGATGGGATTTCATTAGTACAGTCCTGACAAATCATTCTTTCATTGTAGAACGAAGCTTTGCCCTCTGAGACAAACGATACACTTAACTAGGGACCGCTTGACAATGCCTATGTTGTTTCAGCCACTGAAATAGAATGAGGAGCACAGAATATTTCAAGGTGCCAGAATAAAGAAATATTCCCCTCACCCCTGCCCTTAGTTAAGGAACTTTAAAGAAAGGTTTGTTCTAGGTTGAAACTAAAAATTTCATTTTCCTTGAAAATCAAAACATAACAGGGCAGGGTGGGATATTCTAAGATATTAGAACCAGGCAAACAGGAAGACTATTTCTGCTAAGCAGAGACTTTTTATCTTCTCCCTTTTTATTGCACACAACCAGGAGAGCTGCTTTAGATGAATGTGTAACTTGGGTGAAGTAAAGAGAGTGTGAAATATTTCCGTATTCACTTTGCCAGAGCTGGGCCTGTAATGCATTTTGAGTTAAGTGCTTCTTGCAGCAATTCACACCTGGACGTCAGGTAAGTACACACAACTAGGTGATCCTCGGTTTTAACAAGGCCTCTTCACAGGCCCCTTTATCATACTTAGATTTTCTGACAAATTACTCATCTCTATGTGCAAAGCCACTTACGATATTTTACTTGGAAGGTAAGATTATTTACCACCAGGTAATTTCTTGCTGTGGTTGATAAATGACCTGAAATCCTACTTATCAAAGGCCGATGCTTCAACTGGGTTCACATTTAGTGAAAAGCACAGACTTTCAAGCAAAAGGTAGAAATTTTTTTTTTCTGAACCAAGGGATTTTTCCAACAGCCTAAAGGAGGTGTAGTGTATTGATTAACTGTTTTAAAATAAGCTAAGTGTGGCTTTTCAGTCTAAGCATTACGTATGCTTTTTGTGTTTGTTTTCCAACTTTTAGCAATTAAATACTACATTCTTTGATTAAATCCTCCTTTTTGTTTGCCCCTACAGAGAAAAAAATATTTTTTAAGTGAATTTATTGTTATTGTTCTGATCAAATACCAAAGAAGAAGTTTGGCTTTTTCCCAAAAATTAAGACACTGACTGTCTCATGCTGGAAGAAAGAAAGTGATAGGTAACTTTTTCAAGAAACTATTCACTAGTTCTGTGCCTTCAACTAACAGGTCAATTTTATCAAGTCATTTAATCTCACCTCATTAATTCATGGGTAATCCCTGAAGGACTTTTTCAGTTTAAATCTCTTTGGTAAATTCTAAAGGAACAACTGCTCTGAAATTGCTCTTTAAATTTATAAAAGAACTGTCTTAATTTGTGGGATATAGCCAAAGCTCTTAATTAAAGGAAAATGCATAGTGAAAAAAAAATTTGTGCTGATATTACTAGTCCTTATACTTTATCTAAAAACCTAATAAATATTACTTGAACAAATATCTGGAAGACACACATATTTCTAGGTTATTTCTGAGTAATTTTATTAAGTCACTGGTCTGATTATAGGTCAAAGGAAGCTACATAGCATATTACAACATACGAGTTATGACTACATAAAGTTGTGGCCTAGCTTTTTCAAAAGATATGTCAGAACTTATAAAATCTAATGAATGACTCCATCAAAGCTGTTGCCTTGGGAGAATGTAAACTCACTTTTGAAAGCTATTATTACTGCAAAGAATATTTGACCATTTCTCTTCTAGTATTTAAAAATTTACTGACTACTGTATAAATCTTAAGAGACTGAGACTACTACATAAGAAAAGTAATTTTTCCTAATAGAATTCTAAAGCTACAGATATTAAACTTATATAACATAAAATCATATGGTGCAGATAAATAATTCATTTATTCACTAGCTTTCTTTTGACATGACTTTTGATTTAATGTAGGGACCTCATTTCTCAAAAGACACATATGTGCCTCCACTAGGGGTATTTAAAACAATGTTCTACAGCTTTAGAAGACAATTAATCATTTCATTCACCCAGGTAATATTTGTTTCAATTGCAAGGTTGGTGCTATGCAGATTATAAAAATAGTAAGTTACAATTATTGATCTCAAGATGATGATGAATAGGGAGTTTCAAAAGATGCATTGTATAACATTTCAGTGTTTTGAACATTGGTAGCTTTTGGAGAATAAGTGTGTATGGATTCCTAAGACCTTACCTTTGAGGAGATTGTGGGTATCATTGATTATCATTATCAACATTGAAAACACAACTAAAAGAAGCTTTTAAGTATCCGTTCTTTCCCATTCTTTACTGGGAGTCTTTACAATAGGAGTGATTTCATAGATTAATTTTCCCTTTTCCTCAAGTTTTCAAATGCTGATCTAGGAATTAGCTTTCTGGAAGGTGAGCTTCTGAGGGACAAGAATCCAAAAAGTTTAGAAAATGTTGTTCCTTCCTGAAGTTTCCCTGTGTTATTTAGCACAGTGGCAAAGAGTGAATAAGACTTTCCCTTTCTTTCTTTCTTTTTCTGAATTACTTAGCTCTTACCTATCCTTGTTACCTAGCTATTTAGAATTTAATATCCACTTACTGTATATAGTTAATAATGTAATAACCATTCTTTAGTTAATAAAACTGAAGTATCTTTAGTTGAAGACAGAGATTAAATGTATATAAACTAAAATTCCTGGATCCAGAAACATATATAATAAACCATAACAAACACACATTTTCCTATTTGATATCACTTTACTTAAAAACTACAATTATATATATGTTTATGCATATATACATATGTATATTTATGAAATTGACTTATTCATTTCAGTTAATATCAACTTTAACAAAAGGTAGTTTGTTTCTAAATTATGATGGATATCTGATATATTTATTTTTCCTGGATTCAAATGGCTAACAATTATTAAGATACTGTCAGCAGATCAAGGATTATGTTCCATTTTTAAAAGTGGTCTTTACTGCCTTTGTTTAAAAATGATATTGATTATGGATATCAGAGGATCAGGTGTAAAAGTAAATGTTGGGACATGAGGAATATGATTTGTTCTCGAGAGAATTCTAAATATATAGATATGAAGATTGGCACAAAATCACTGAATGGATCACTACCTTGTTTTTTTACCTTGATATTTTTTTCTATGAAAACAAGCAGTGCCAGTATGGAATCATTCAAGTAGTCCTTCTATATTTGAGAATTTGTTAAGTTTCATTAAAATATAAGGAAAAGATAGCAAAATCATACTCCACCAGCCCATCCAGTTCTGCTTTCTTCTATATGCTCCTGGGTCTAAAAGAAAAAAAGATCACGTCAAGCATAGTATGAGGAGGATAGTTTTTCCAAAATACAGTCTGGATATTTGAACTGGTTAAGCTTCCTCGTCAGAGTGTACTATTGCTAGTCAACTATGCAGTTGAGTTGAAGATGATTTATATGCAAGATTTTTTTTTAAATTTTATTTTGGTATCATTAATCTACAATTACATGAAGGACATTATGTTTACTAGGCTCCCCCCCTCACCAAGTCCCCCCCACATTCCCGTTTACAGTCACTGTCCATCAACATAGTAAGATGTTGTAAAATCACTACTTGTCTTCTCTGTGTTGCGCAGCCCTTCCCGTGCCCCACCCCCACACTATACATGCTAATCGTAAGGCCCCCTTTCTTTTTTTCCCCACCCTTATTCCTCTCTTCCCACCCATCCTCCCCAGTCCCTTTCCCTTTGGTAACTATTAGTCCACTCTTGGGTTCTGTGCTTCTGCTGCTGTTTTGTTCCTTCAGTTTTCTTTTGTTCTTATACTCCACATATGAGTGAAATCACCTGGTACTTGTCCATAAAACTCTTAGAAAAAAACATAGGCAAAAATCTCTTAGACATAAACATGAGTGACCTCTTCTTGAACATATCTCCCCAGGCAAGGGAAACAAATGCAAAAATGAACAAATGGGACTATATCAAGCTGAAAAGCTTCTGTACAGCAAAGGACACCATCAATAGAACAAAAAGGTATCCTACAGTATGGGAGAATATATTCGTAAATGACAGATCCGATAAAGGGTTGACATCCAAAATATATAAAGAGCTCACACACCTCAACAAACAAAAAGCAAATAACCCAATTAAAAAATGGGCAGAGGAGCTGAATAGACAGTTCTCTAAAGAAGAAAT